CTTGTGCCACCACTCTCAGCTTTAAAAAAAAAATTTTTGTAGTGCCAGGCATGGTGGCTCATGCCTGTAATCCCAGAACTTTGGGAGGTGCAGACAAGAGGATTGCCTGAGCTCAGGGATTCAAGACCAGTCTGTGCAACATGGTGAGACTTCGGTTCTACAACAAATCAAAAACAAAAAAGTAATTTTTTATTTTTTTTAGAGATAAGGTCTCACTATGTTTCCCAGACTGTACTGGAACTCCTGGGTTCAAGCAATCTTCCTGCCTCAGCCTCCCAAAGTGCTGGGGTTATAGGTGTGAGTCACCGTGCTCAGCCCTGTCCTCTTTTTTTTTTGCCGAGGGACTTTCTTTCTGAGCATGGCATTCTCGGTACACCAGGAAGGGGTGGACCAACGTCAGAAGAGTGGCAACTATGAGTATCAAGTTCACCTGTGGGGAGAAAGAAATGAGTGAGGTCAAGTCCAGGAGCTCTGAGCAGCACCCACAACCAAGGAAGGGACCAGCATATTTTACTCTCCACCCAGATACTCTGGTGCCCTGGAGGAAGGACTTTCGGTTATTCTTCATACTGCCCTGGGGGGTGGGATGCCAGGGAAGGAATACTATGCCCATTTCACGGATGCAGAAACAAAGACCTAGGCCACTGGGAAACTGGGAAGGCCCCAGCTAGAGTATTTTATATGAATATGATGTCAGGACACCTGATAGCACAACCAAGTAATTCTCCTCCGTTTTGTTTTTATTTATTTATTTTTTGAGTTGAAGTCCCACTCTGTCACCCAGGCTGGAGGGCAGTGGCACACTCACAGCCACCCCAGCATCAACCTGCTGGACTCTGGCGATCCTTTCACCTCAGCCTTCCAAGCAGCCAGAACTACAGGCACATGCCACCATGCCCAACCAATTTTTTTTTTATTGTAGAGATGAGGTCTCGCCAAGTTGCCCAGGCTGGTCTCAAACCCGTGGGCTCAGGCAATCTTCTCACCTCAGCCTCCCGAAGTGCTGGGATTATAGGCAAAAGCCACCACGCCAGGCCTAATAAAGTCTTTTTTTTTTTTTTTTTTGAGTTGGAGTCTCACTCCATTGCCCAGGCTGGAGTGCAGTGGCATGCTCACAGCCACTGCAGCCTCGACCTGCTGGGCTCAGGCGATCCTTCCACCTCAGCATTCCAAGTAGCTGGAACTATAGGCATGCGCCACCACACCCGGCTAATTTTTTGATTGATTGTAGATATAAGGTCTCACCAAGTTGCCCAGGCTGGTCTCGAACCCGTGAGTTCAGGAAATCCTCTCGCCTCAGCCTCCCAAAGTACTGAGATTATAGGCATGAGCCACAGCACCTGACCTTTCTTTTTATTTTTAGAGACAGGGTCTCACTCTGTCACCCAGCCTGGAATGCAGTGGTACAATCATAGCTCACTGCAGCCTCGACCTCCTGGGCTCAAGCATTTCTCCCACCCCAGCCTCCTGTGTAGCTGGGACTCCACACCCAACTATTTTATTTTTTGTAGAGATAATGTCTCACCATGTTGCCCAGGCTGGTCTCGAACTCCTGGCCTCAAGCCAGAGTACTCCCACTGACCCTAGTTGGAGAAGCACAACCGAGGATGCACCCCTGTGCAGAACTTCTGATCCAGGGACCACACCTTGGCCACTGCAGTCAGATTAGGGGCGCCCCCTGCTGGGGTCCCACGGAGTCACCCCACCCTGGACCCCTGCCACAGACATACATGACCCAGCAGTACTCACGTAGAACGGGTTATTCTGGAAGTGGCTTTTGATAAGGATGAACAAGGGGAACTGGAGCAGGGACACCACAGCAGACAAGGCCATGACCAGTCCATAGAGCTTTCCAAAGTGCTCTGAAGGGAAACTGGGAAAAGAGACCGGGTTCCAGTGAGCTGTGGGGATTGTTTTAAAGCAGGGGTTTAAGCCGGGCTCGGTGGCTCAGCCTATAATCCCGCACCTTTGGGAGGCTGAGGTGAGTGGATTGCCTGAGCCCGTGGGTTCGAGACCCGCCTGGGCAGCGAGACCTCATCTCTACAATAAATCAAAAAATCAGCCGGGCGTGGTACCGCATGCCTGTAATTCCGGCTACTTGGAAGGCTGAGGCAGAAGGATCGCCGGGAGCCCAGCAGATGGAGGCTGCGGTGGCCAGGAGCGGCCACTGCACTCAAGTCTGGGCGACAGAGTGAGACTCAATGCAAAAAAAAATAAATAAATAAATAAATAAATAAAGCAGGGGCCTGTCCTCCAAGGGCCTTTGTCCCCAACTCCCCTGTCCTAGGCCTGCCCTCCACCCACCACACCTACCCAGCCCTTCACCTTTGCTCAGAATTCAAACTACAGAATAGAAAAGGCACATGCAGGGACCCAGACACAGGCTGTGCTCATAGAGGTCTCAAGAAAAAGACAGACACGTAAATAGATCACTACATGCCAGACGAGGCGTGCACTATCAAAAGAAGTGAGAACAGAGCACCAAGGGCACAAAGGAAAACACATTTCCATATCTTGCCTGCAAGAACGGGAACAGAAGTGGGCTTTGGAGGGTGAATAGGGGTTCATCGGATAGAGGACAAAGGGCATAGCAGATATGAAGGTTCAAGTGCGTGAATGCTCTATCCTCTCTACCCCTTCTACGCCTGCTCCCAACCTGGCCCATCCTCACCTCCCGACTCTTTACCTCTAGCTTCTTTTTGTCCCAGTGGATTCCTGCCAGAGCCAACCCCAAGGCCACTTACGCAAGGATGAGGAAGGCTGCATTGCCCCCGTAGAGGAAGGAGCGGCTGATCACTTGCAGGATGAAGGTGACATACTGGAGGGGGAGGACAGGGACCGAGGCACAGATGGCGAAGCCCAGGCACAGCAGAGACGTCAGGGCCAGTGAAGGCACCGTAGAGCAGAGGGCCACCACCGAGGCGGAGAAACCTGGGTCAGAAGGGAGGAGGAGAGGCTGCCTGGAAGCCAACCAGCCCAACGGAGAGCCAGGAAAGACAGGGAAGGGGAGGGACCACCACCCACCCAGCGGTCCAAGCACAAACCTGGGTCATCCTGGATCTTCCTCCTCCCATGCTCACTTCCAGGCCATCACACATGCTGATCATCGGCCCCTAAGCACCATTCGAACGTGTCCCTCCTCCCCAACTCACTGGCTCTTCCTAGTTTTAAGCCACCATCAACTCGCAGATGATGGCAATGGCCTCCTAACTGGCTCTACCTCCACTCTTGCCCCCGCTAACCCGGAATCAGAGCCACTGGCTCCTCATAGAGCTGCTGGTAACAGCACAAGCAGGAACAATCACGTCAAACTACACTGCCGCCACGTAATGGACAGCAGGTGGCGGAGAGCGAGACGGCAGTTACAAGGCACCAGAAGAGGGCCGTGGCATGCAGCAACTTGGGATAGAGTTACACAGAAAGCCTGCAGGACGCTGTACACCACAGTATGCTGCCTTTTATCTAAGGAGGGAAATACACACACACACACACACACACACACACACACACACACACACACACACAAACACACACACACACACAAATGGTGTCCCATGCCTGTAATCACAGCACTTTGGGAGGCCAAGGTGAGAGGACTGCTTGAGCTCAGGAGTTCGAGACCAGGCTGGGCAACATAGCCAGACATCGTCTCTACAGAGAATCAGAAAATTAGCCATATGTGGTGGCAGGCACCTGTAGTTCCAGCTACTTAGAAGGTTGAGGCAGAAGGATCGCTGGAGCCCAGCAGATCGAGGTTGCGGTGGCTATGAGCGTGCCACTGCACTCCAGTCTGGGCGACAAGAGCAAGGCTCCAACTCAAAAACATAAAATAAATAAAATAAAATATGTATATAATAAAAAGCAATAAAAATGGAAAAGGAAAACAGGGGTACTAGGAACAGAGAAGGAAACAAAACTTCTTAGATTATATCTTGTTTCATAGTTTTAACTTAGGGCAAATGTAAATGCTTGATATGTAAATGTGCAAATAAAATTAAATAAAAATAATAGGTAGAAAACAACCAAAGCAATCCCCAAAAAATTAGAAACAGAAATAAAGTGAAGCCAATGAACACAACTCTATACCAAGTTGGTGACTTAAAATACAGTAATTTGGCTGCACATCTCTCGTGGGATAATGGCCTGAGGAGGAGAAGGAAGAGACACAGGAAGGAGGGAGGGAGAAAGGGTGAGAGGGAGGGAGAGAAGGAAGAAGCTAGAAATGGCATTTAGTGTGGCCTGGTGCAGTGGCTCAGGCCTATCATCCCAGCACTTTGGGAGGCAGAGGCAAGAGGACTGCCTGAGTTCAGAGGTTCAAAACCAGCCTGAGCAGCATGGTGAGACCTGGTCTCTACAATAAACCAAAAAAAATCAACCAGGTGTGGTGGTGCATGCCTGCAGTTCCAGGTACTTCGAAGGCTGAGGCAGAAGGATCACCAGAGCCCAGTAGGTCAACACTGGGGTGGCCGTGAGCGTGCCACTGCATTCCAGCCTGGGCGACAGAGTGAAACTCCAACTCAAAAAAAAAGAAATAGCATATAGTGACTACGAGATTATTGTATTGTAATATTGATATTGCTAAAACCAGTGATTATGTTTAGAATATTAAATATGTATGTACTATGTATGTATATAGTATTGGTACAGACCAACATTTTCAGAGAAAGCTACAAATATAAAATCAAGGAAACAAAATATGAATGAAAACATCACCATTAAGTATTCATGATGGGTTTTTTACCCCTTAGAAAAAATTATATACATCTCAAATCTACCTAAGGTCCAAAGGCAAAGACAAGCCAGGAGCAATTAGAAACCCCCCGGCACCTGCTGGGCACAGTGGCTCAAGCCTGTAATCCCAGGACTTTGGGAGGTCGAGGTGAGGGGATTGCCTGAGCCCACAAGGTTCGAGAACAGTCTGGGCAACTTGGCGAGACCTCATCTCTACAATAAATAAAAAAATTAGCCAGGCATGGTGGTGTGTGCTGGTGGTTCCAGCTACTTGTAAAGCTGAGGTGGAAGGATCTCCTGAGCTCGGGAGATCAAGGCTGCAGTGGTTGAATAAAAAATAATTAGCTGGGCTTATGCTTTTAGTTCCAGCTACTTGGGAGGCTGAGGTGGAAGGATCACCTGAGCCCAGAAGACTAAGGCCACAGTGAGATAGGATCGTGTCACTGCACCCCAGTCTGGGTGATAGCATGAGACACGACTCAAAAAGAAAACACTGGTAGTCATCCCTGGAGATCACAAGGCATCAGCTTCATTATTCTGAAATGGCTAAATTGACAGGAAAACCAAGTATTTAATTCAGGGTAATGGAATAGTAAGGGAATTTTTTGTTTGTTTTTTCTATAGGAATTCTAGCCACTAAAAGCAGAAGAAAAGATAGAAATAAAAAATCATCCTCTTGCAACTCTAATAAAATAATGAGTGTAGGCATTGATCACTAATGGCTGCTAAGATCATTAGGTACATGGTTGACAGGAAACGTAATGGACTGTCAAACTGATAACATCTGAACCAGCTGATCAATCTTAACATTGTAACAAGACAACAGATACCAGGGGGCACTGAAGGGAAACCAGAGGAAGCCCAAGGCTCCACCTCAGAGCTCTTCCTCCAAAACAAACCAGAGTCTCCTCCAAGTCCCTAATCCACCTGCTTATAGGAAACACTTTTTTTTTTTTTGAGGTGGAATCACTCCGTCGCCTTGGCTGGAGTGCAATAGCACACTCACAGCCACCCCAGTGTCAACCTTCCACCTCAGCCTTCCAAGTAGCTGGAACTACAGGTGGGCGCTACCATAGCCAGCTATTTTTTTTTTTTTATTGTAGAGACGAGGTCTCGAACCCGCGAGCTCAGGCAGTCCACTCGCCTCAGCCTCCCAAAATGCTGGGATTACAAACTGCGCCATCAAGCCTGGCCTATAGGAAACAATTTTAAACGACACCAATATAGTGCCAAATCTACCTACCAGTTTCTTCAACAAGTAAAGAGGCTGTGGCCACTGCTACACATTTTATAAGGCAAAGCAATCAAATTCATCGCATGGCCCATGTATAGATTCTGATTTGAACAAAGCAACCATAAAAATGCTTTTTTTTTTTTTTTTTGAGTTGGTGGGTCTCACTGTCACCCAGGCTGGAGTACAATGGCATAATCATGGCTCACCACAGCCTCGTCCTGCTAGGCTCAAGTGGTCCTCCTGCCTCAGACTTTGAGTAGCTGGAACTACAGGGGCCCACCAACACACCCAGCTACTTTTGTTTTTTTTTTTTTTAGAGACAAGTCTTGCTAAGTTGCCCAGGCTGGTCTCAAACTCCTGACCTCAAGCAATCCTTCCACCTTAGCCTCCCAAAGCGTTGGGGTTACAGGTGTGTACCCCCATGCTCAGCAAAAGCTGTATTTTTAATAAGGAGAATTTGAACAGTGACTGCATATAAGATGAAATTAAGAAATTATTGGGGGTTTTTTTAGGTGTGATAATAATATTATGGTGAAGATTAAGTAAGAGAGGCCTGGCCAGGTGTGGTGGCTCACTCCTACAATCCCAGCACTTTGGGAGGAAGAGGCAGAAAGATCGCCTGAGCCCAGCAGGTCGAGACTATGGTAGCCATGAGTGTGCCACTGCACTCCAGCCTGGGCAACAGAATGAAAAGAGACTCTGATTCAAAAACTAAAATAAAATACCCTTACTTGTTAGAGACACATATCACAGCTCACTGCAGCCTCAACCTCCTGGGCTCAAGCAGTCCTCCCACCTCGGTCCCTCAAGTAGCTGAACTATGGAACTGCAGGCGTGCCACATGCCCAGCTAATTTGAGACAAGGTCTGGCTGTGTTGCCCAGGCTGGTCTCAAACTCCTGGACTCAAGCCATCCTCCAGCCTTGCCCTCCCAGAGTGCTGGGATTATAGGCATGAGTCACCATGTCCAGCGCTGACCTCCTCTTACCTCTCTCTCCACCGCCTCTTCCTAGGACACCATAAGTGCTCTGTGCACTGGGCCAGCCTGAACCACTTACCAGATTCCTCACATTCCTCAATGCTTCACTCTCTCCTCCACCACCCTGACCCCAGTGTTCCCGAGTCACTCTCAGGCCCCGCCCCGTCACCTCCCCACTTAGCCTCTTCCTAGGACACCCTGAGTGCTCTGTGCCCTGGGGCCAGCCTGAACCACTTACCAGATTCCTCACCTTCCCCGGTGCTTCACTTCTTCACCACCCTGACCCCACGTGCTCTCTCAGGCCCTGCCCCTTTATCTCCCCACTTACTCCTCCTTCAGGCCTTGGCTTAGATGCCACTTACTCCAGGAAGCCTTCCCTGGTTACCAACCTCATCCTCACCCATAACAGGTGAGGGGGAGGTGACCTACTTCTTATCCCTGTGGTCCCCCACGGGTTTATTTCATGGATTTGTAATTGCCTGACTACTTGCCTCTTTCCACACCTTGAGAAAAAGAGCATATCTGTCTTACCCATTGTTGAGTCCCCGGTCTGGCACTATGGCTGTTACATAATTGTCACGAGCCAGGTAGATTGAGCCAGAGTGTAGAAGCCTTAATGGGACAGTCTTGAGTCCATACCCACCTTCTAACCTTGTCTTCCAGAGCTCACCTGGCATGCGCTGCGAGCTGCCCAAGACTCACACATCCCCATCTCCTTGCTTTGTCACCCACCTTTGATGACCCTCCCATGATCTATTGAAATCCGATCTGTCCCTCACAGCACACAATTATCAGTGGTGGAATGAATGGGGGTGTGAAATGAAAGAGCAGAAAGAGTTAAGTAGAAAGAAGAATAGTTAAGAACAAAAGAGGCAGAGCACAGTGGCTCACATCTATAATCCCAGCACTCAGGGAGGCTGCGGTGAAAGGATCACTTGAGTCCAGGAGTTTAAGACCAGCCTAGGCAACATAGCGAGACTTCGTCTCTACAAAAAATAAAATAAGCCAGTATGGTAGCATGCAACTGTAGTCCCAGCTCTGCAGGAGGCTGAAGCAGAAGATCTCCTGAGTCTAGAAGGTTGAGGCTGCAGTGAGCCAGGATTGTGCCACTGCACTCCAGCCTGGGTAACAGAGTGAGAACCCAACTCAAAAAAAAAAAAAAAAAAAAAAGCCAGGTGTGATGGCTCAAGCCTGTAATCCCAGCACTTTGGGAGGCTGAGGCGAGAGGAATGCCTGAGCTCAGGGGTTCGAGACCAGCCTGGGCAACTTGGTGAGACCTCATGTCTACAATAAATCAAAAAATAACCTGGGCGTGGTAGCACACACCTGTAGTTCCAGCTACTTGGAAGGTTGAGGTGGAAGGATCGCCTGAGTCCAGCAGGTCAATGCTGGGGTGGCCGTGAGCGTGCCACTGCACTCCAGCCTGGGCGACTGAGTGAGACTCCAACTCAAAAAAAAAAAGGACCAAATGGGCAGGGGGATAAATGACACTCCCTCGTGGCTCCCTGCTCCCTGCCTCACCTGTCTTCCCGGCTTCCTTCTGGTACTTCTGCTTAAGCCAGTCCATGAGCAGGCCATTCCAGGGGGCACACAGCACTCCGAATAACTGAGTATAGGCGAAGGCGTTTGTGTAGGTGCTGACTGCAGAGGGAGAGAGGGGCTGGGCAGTGAGACGTTTCCAGGAACAAGGACTCTCCCACCCTGTCCTGGTCGCGCTAGTCCCTCTCCCCACACCCTCCTCCAGGGGGCGCACCATCCTGCTGGGAGGCTCTGGGTCCCCAGCGGGGACGTGCAGGTGGGCTGCCTCCCAGCCCTGCCACATACCTAGCAGTTTGTCCTTGTTGGCCAAGCTGGTCAGCTTAGGGTTGAGCGTGCCAATGAAGAAGTAATGCCAAAGCTGTATCACGGACAGCCACACCAGGTGACACACGAAGCGCAGAGACAAGACGCAGCTCCAGAAGGAGCGGGGCTCCTGCTGTGGCCCTGTCCCTGGGGTCTCTGATGGGGAAAGGGGACCTGGGTATAAACTGCAAGGGACATGGGGAGGTGGAGGGATGGGACAGAGCACAGAGGCCTTCACAGGACAGTCTTGGGCCTGCATCTACCTTCCACCCTTGCTCCAGAGCTCACCTGCCTGCTCTGCCAGCTGCCTGTGACTCGCACATTCCCACCTCCCTGCGCAGTCATCCTGGCCCCATCACCCCGAATGACCCTCCCATATTCCTCTGTCTATTGAAATCCGATCTGCCTCTCGCAGCCTGGTCAATGACACTTCTTGCAGTAATACCTTCCTGATCCTTCTCAGCCAGAATGGTGAAGAGAAAGACAGAGGAGGAGAAAGCTAGAGGAGACTTCAGCATGAGTGAGGGGCAGTACTGCTCGATCCCACTCCTCCGCCCCTCACTTTCTCTGGGCACCAGCAACCCCGAGTTTCACTGGGAAATCTTCCCCTGCCCCGTCTTCGGTCACACGGGACCATGAATTAAGTATTCTGCTCCTCACCCAGGGCTGACTAATTAAATCACTCTCCCTAACAAGGCAGACTGGCCGTGATTTTATATTGAGATGCCAGAGGTGTCCTGGTTCTATGCTTCCCAGACCTTGCAAGTTTGATTTCCCCCCCTTGATTTCCTAAGCTTCCCAGAATCCTATTCTTTCTTTCTTTCTTTCTTCAGTGACAAGGTCTTGCTACGTTGCCCAGGCTGGTCTTGAACTCTTGGCTCATGGAATCCTCCTGCCTCGGCCTCCCAAAGTGCTGAGATTACAAGTGTGAGCCACTGTGCCCGGTCAGAATTTTATTCTTATTTCTTTAAAAAAAAAAAACTGGCTGTGTATATTTAAGGTGCACAACATGATGTCACAAAATACATATAGTTAGTAAGATGGTTACTATAGTGAAGCAAATTACCGTGTCCATCAACTAACATATTTACCTTTTTGTGTGTGACAAGAGTGGTTAAAAATCTATTCGTTCAGGCTGAGTGCGATGGCTCACGCCTGTAATCCCAGTACTGTGGGAGGCCAAGGCAGGAGGATTGCTTGAGCCCAGGAGTCCGAGACCAGTCTGGGCAACACAGTGAGACCTAGTCTCTACAAAAAAAAAAAAAAAAATCAAAAAAATTAGCTGGATGTGGTGGTGTACACCTCTAATCCCAGCTGCTCAGAAGGCTGAAGCAAAGGATCACCTGAGCCCAGGAGAAGGCTGCAGTGAGCCATGATTGTGCCACTGCACTCCAGCTGGGCAAGAGTAAGCCTCTGACTCAAAAAAGAAAGAAAAGAAAAAGAGGGCAGATCGGGGGAGTGGGGGGAAGGGAAGGCAAATCACAGAAGGCAGACTCCAGGGGATGGGATGGGATGGGATGAGAAAGTGAGAAAGGGAGAAATGAGCGGCAGAACAGGGAGAATAAAAAAGAGACACACATTCTGCCCCTCTCTAAAGTGAAGGGTTGGGAAGATGCTTAGATCTCTGCCTGGCCTGGCCTGGTCCCGGGTCCCTGGAGGAGTCCTGGAGGCAAGGAGCCAGCCAGGTGAGGCCCCAGGAAGGGCCTGTCCTGGGGGAGGAAGGGGTAGCCGGCAGGGGAGGGGCAGGGGGGCTCACCTTCCTTTGGTGAGAACTCCTTGGACTGCAGCCCTTCTTCTACACACTCCACTGCTTTCTCCTCTCCCTTTGTGGTTTTGAATCTAGAGCACAGGCTGTGGAAACAGAGCCCCACCCACAAGCGCCAGGACCGTGAGCACACCTGAGATTGGGGCTGGAGGGATCCCAAATTGCACCACGCTTTGGAATCACCTTTCAGCCACCCGAAACCCAAGTCGCAGCCCAGACTCGTGAAATCAGAACATTTGAGCGTGAGTGCCGGAGACCAGCTCCAGCCGGGTTCAGGGCACCCCAAAGGTGGAGACGGTGTCGGCGATTGGGGGGAAGAAGAGAGAAAGAAAGAGACTGGACTCCAATCTAGTGCAGAAGTGATGTGTGTCTTATTGGGAATTACAACGGGTCTTTTATACACAAAGTCAGATGTGGGAAGGGTGTCCCCCACCCACCAGAAACCTTAATCCATGAAAACTTAATCAATGATTGCCTTTAAACTCTTTTCACATGATAATCTTAAAATCCCATAACAAAGGATAACCTAATCTGTGACTGACATATTCTAT